CAAATTTAATTTTTACAAAGTTAATTGATTGAAATCAGGGATAAAATCACAAAAAAATCAAAATTTAGGATCAATTAGGGATGAAATTGAAGAAATTTATAGCTATAAACCTTTTTGAAAAGGGTGTTAAACTTCGAGGATTTAATCCGATAGAAGACAGAGATGAAATTGAAATTTTCATGATCAATTAAGAATTAATTTACATAAATCCCAAACCAAGGATCATAATGAAAAATACACTGAAACTTAAGGCTGATGTTTTCATTCATTAGGGAAAAAATTGCATAAAATCAAAAGTTTGGAGTAAATTAGGGATGAAACTGAAAAAATCAAACTCCAAGGGAATAAATTGAGCTTTGGTCAAATCTTTAAATCAAAACCTTAATAGCCAAAACGAGGTCATTTCATTTAAGAGAAATATAACGTTTTGACCAAAACAACGCTATTTTGCCAAACAGTAACATAAAAAAAAAGAAAAGAATAGACCAGATACCACCATGATGGTCTAACATTATACCACACCCTAGAGCAAGCTTTGTCAGCTGACTATCTATATAGCTGTCACGGTGCTACCTTAAAGTGGTCAATCTGACCAACCTTTAGCAATCAATTTTCACAATCCATGATTGCACTTTTGAACCAATGGTTGAGGTCTTTTTCAATTAAATCAAGTGTAAAGATTTATCCTAAATGAAGACAAAATGTTCCTCTTCCACTACTAATAAATTAGGATGGATTCCAGGCATTGAGTATCAAGAAATTAGAGGTCAAAGTTGGATAAAAATTAGTTTTTTCCTTTAGTCCCTATATTCCTTCTCTCTGCCAGTTTCTTTCTCTTTCTTTGTAATGTCTTCGTCGTTGATGCCATCACTAGCCATATGTCAGACTTCCCAGCACCACCAGGAATGCCACTAGTACCTTTTAACCTCTGACCAGGCGAGCATCCTTTCCATTTATCTCTTTAAACTTCACCCCTAGTGGTGGCCATTGTATGATAAATTTTGCATGCAATGACCAGATATGGAAGAAGGATTGAAAAATAATGAAAACAAAGTTTAGTATCGAAATTAATTTTTCTAAAATTAAAGAGACCTGTCAACTAATAGATAAAAGAGATTATGGGAGATAAAATGTACTTTTCAAATAAATTCTAAAAAATCACTTATGTTACTTGAGTTTTTCACTTTAATCCTCTATTTATCAATTCAACCTTTCCTCTGAAAAAATCATGTAATTGAGTGCTTAAAAGAGCTTAATTGTGTAAAGAGAAAATTGGAGGATCAAAATGAAAAATTATAATATAAACTACTATATAAATACTTTATATACACAGTACGAACATAATAATTTCACCACGTGTTTTAAGTTATAGTATAACAAGGAAACTCTCAATTTCTTCGTATGTTTAAGATTCAAAATAGACCTCTCTTCATCCAAATTTCTTAATGGTTAATTGTATATTTTTATGAAAAAAAAGAAAAAAAATGTTTTTATTTCAAAGAAAATTTAACATTTTTAGTTTAAAATTTGTTATTAATCTAAACCAAAAGGAGTAATTTAGAGTTCTTGAATGTTCAGGAACCAAATTAAAAGAAAAATTATTTTGAAATAATACGAGTATTTTCTGTTATATATAAAAGAAATCATTTGACTCTTGAATTTAAAAAGTTTTGAATATACTTAGTATAATCATTTAATTTGACATAAATGTGATATGCATTTGGTTAAAATAAGGTCTATCATTTAACTACTTCGATCTAGCCATGTGATGAAAAAAACAAAGGAGTGTTTTTGGAAACATGATTGAAATAATGTTTTTCAAATATTTTTTTTAAATTATTTAAAAATTATTTTTTTATATTTTCAAATTATTTTATGTGTTGATGTTAAAAATAATTTTTTTAAAAAATATTATTTTAATATATATATAAAAAAAACACTTGAACTCCAACCATTATTATATTTTCAAATACAAAAATAAAAAGTTAAGGACCACAATTGGCATTTTTTAGATGAACGATCGAGATTCCTTGAAAGATGAATTATATGTTGAAGGAATTTATGAAGTGAATGCAGCTGTTGATTATAAACTGCAATCATTATACATCCCAAAGAAGGATTTGACATCTAAACATTCCCTCCAACTATGAACATATAATGATCAGAGCAGCTGGTCCAGCAGAGAAGCAGTACAAGTAGCCAACCCCACGAGGCATTAGAAAAAATAAAAATTTAAAACCTTTTATTTTAAAATATATTAAAATAATATTTCCAATCATGTAAAAAACATAATAATCATAATTTATGTAAAAAATCAAAACCATATTTTATAATAATCATCTTTAATATTTTCTATTCCAATTGTAAACTATTAATTTTATTTTATTCAAATTAAAAACTATCATGAAAAAGAAATATTGCATTTGAATATGAAGTTTTAGTTTTTCTTTTCTGACTTTAGTTTTTTTTTTTTTTAAATCAAAGTATCACTTTGTTTCTAAACAGCCGCCTAAACAATATGTTCATAGAATTTCCTCAAGTTAATACACATGCTTAATTTGTATGTATCATGAAGAAATACATATGAATCCCAATGATTAATTTGATTAATTATTATTATTATTATTATTATCAGACTGCGAAGCAATGATTGGTTTCTCTTTATAAATATAATTAAACATGGTTTTTTGCATCTATTTAATTGGTGATTGATAAAATGAATGAATGAAGCATCAATATAATTGAACATATTTTTTATTATTATTAATATGAATGTTTGGGTTAGCTTGCATGTATTTTAAATAATTTTAAAATTAATAATTATATAAATCTTTATTTATTCTGAAATTTATGATATTTAAATTAGTAATTTCTTACTAGAATTAAACATAGTTTTTCTTTAAATTGCTGATTGATAACATAAATGATGAGAATTGACTTTCCTCTGTTTAATTCCCTCTCCTTAGTACTGTGCTGCTACATGGCATCTTTTCTAACCCTGAAATGAAATGAAATGTTCTAAAATAAGCTAGCAAGCAAAAGGTGGATTGGAATCCTCCAATGAGATGTGATATATAATTGACTTCAAGAAAGAAATGAAATGTTCTAAAACAAAGCTTACAAATAAATCTCTGTGAAATTGTTTGATATTATAATAATTAATTACATATTAAAATATTTTCCGATTGAAAATATTTAAAACGGGGCATCCCACGCTGTAAGTTGAGAGTCCTATAGAGGGAAAAAAAAAAATGGAGAAATGAGTGGTGAAGGGAATGGGACGGTGGTGGTGCTATGAAATGCTACTCCATGAGTGTGCTTGTTCTCATTTCACCAATGGCGATTTCTTGGGTTTATTCCTAGGTGGTCTATCAAGTGCCATGTGGCAGCCTATGAACCAGTCTTTTTCTAAAATCTATGCCCATCATCATGCTGTTGGGGTGCGAGGATGCTGGACTTTGAAAGGTTAAACACAACGTTTGATGATAATCTTGATAAATTAGCTCAAATCAAAGTGATTCCAAGATTCCCTAATGGTGCTTCGCCACGGCATCCATTCGGCTTCTCGGCCACAAATTCTGGGACTAAACTAGCGATCTTGCTTCAATTAACGTGGCAATATCTGCATCTTAAGTGTGGTACTAGGCTTCGAGTGTTGTTCCTCTTTCTGGAAGGAAGATAAGGATCTGCTATCTTGGTCACTAACGACAATTTTTTATATGTTTTTGCACAGTTCTAGACCCCCCCGAATAATACAAGAGAATTTCGAAGAGGCTGGTCAAGTCACATAATGAAAAAGAAATTAAGTGTGGTTTTTCTTGGCCCAGCAAACTAAGGAATCTGGGTTCCTATTTCATCTTGTGATTATCGAAACATTTATCCAATGATCATATGGGATCATAAAGGTAAGAAGAATCTTCACATGTCCAGAGATGATTGGATGCTAAACGATCTCCACTGGATTTATATTTTTGCCAAAGATCCCTCCATTGAAGGAGCTCGGTGCGCCTCTTCACTCCACCACGGATCAATCGTACAGTGCTTTCTTGCCGAAACATCAAGAAGGCGTTACTGATTGAGAGAAACTATAAGGTATTTTTTGCAGAGCTTGACAGTATTCGAAGTCTTCTACGGATAAATATTCAGCACTGACAGATAGAAGGCACTCACGCAAGTTTATACCATGAACATAGAAAAATGAGGGGAAATCACCTTTCATTAAAATAGAAATCGAGATGCTTCTCCCCAATTGACTATGTTTTATCAGATAGCAGAATTTTCGAGACCAGCATCGAGATATGTCTTGCTGTCACAAAATCTTTGTCGCACAGACAACTAGTGGATTTGCCATCAGGTTTCTCACATACTGCACTGGCTAACATGTTCACGGTGCTTTTGTTTTGAGATGGTCGCTATCTCTCACCATGAATTCCAGACAACTTTATGGTGGAATCATAACCGGGCTTTCTTAGATGTTAACTAGATTATATGCTTGGGCTCCATTGATTTCTTGTGATTTTTTTTTAAATATAAAAAAATACTAAGACATTACTATTTTTTTATAGGATAAAAAAATATAAATGGTGAGAAGATGAAACTTGGTTCATTTTACGTATCAAAAATATAATTTAAAAGAAAAATCAAGATGAAAATATATTAAATTAATTGAAATTAATTTATCAACTCCGCAGATCATTAAATCATAATGATTTCATAAAAAATAAATTTATATTTATATTTTCAAGCAATTAAATATTAAAAAAATATATTAAAAAATAATAAAAATCCACATGTTAAAAAGTTAAAAAGTTTAATTATCAGTAAATCTAATTCTAATATTAAATAATAAAATAGAAAAAAATACTAAAAAATTACCTAGATTAATTCCCTGTTATAAAATTAGAAAATAAATTTAAACAAATTATAAAATTTAATTTTTAATAAATAAAATATTAAGAGATAAATTAAAATAATTAATAATATTTTGCGATACATACTAAGTAAAAACACCACCTTTTTAGTTTTAGCTAATAATAATTTCCATCTTTGAAATTACAGGTGCATTCCCACAATTCAGAATATTTTGTTTTCTTAAACAGGACAGAACACCGACTTTTTTACCAAATAAGATCTACAAGTTCAATTCCTTCCATCACAATTCCATTCACTACATGAAGATGACCATCATTCAGCTAAATAATGTTTGCAGGCTTTAAAAGGCCGATCCTTGCTAGAATTTGGTCAGTGAAACCAAAGGACGGCTTTTTACTGCGTCTGATTACAATGGATTCCTATTCACATCTTTGTACAGCAAATATCGTGTACGGGTCTTACCAAGTGCAGCGTACCTGAAAAGGTAGCAAAATATATCATTGTGTATCAGATTTGGGTTTGCAGGAGGAATAAAAATTCATGTTTGCAGGGAGAAAGAAGGCTATATTTTTCTCACCATTGGGGTACAAATGGGGCCATCCAAATGGCATCCCCAGATTGAACTGGGTACCTGTAATAAAAGAAAGTATATTGCTAAGCTACAAGAACAAATTTTTTGAGAAGTTGCAGAAAACAGACTAGTGGGAACAACCGAACCGAATATGCAAGCAGAAACCAATGAGTTAAAGAAATGTTTCAACAAAAGAAGTTCCAGAAGCACTGGGAACCCACTTAAAGCTTGAGTGTATTGTTAAAGATGCAAGCACAGACACACATTCTTACCAACAACTGAAAACAAAATATCATTTATTGAATATAAATCTCAGATTTTTCTCTTTCCTTTTTTCTTTTCTCTTCCTTTTCTTTTTTCTTTTCTTTTTAATTGTTTTTTTTTTTTTTTTTACGTAGACAAAAGGTCCACATCTTTTGACTAATACAATTGAAGCAGTTTATAAAAATGTTCTATCGAAAAGCTTCATAGCATTGGAAACAGGACTTTTAAAGTGCTTTAGAATGTTAATAAAATTCAGAATCTATCATTTATGCATTTAAATAGCATTAACACCAAATGGTTCTGGGGATTGTTTAAGAGTGGCATTAAATTATCTGAGAATCACAACTCTTGATTAAAATTCTTACCAGCTATCAGCCAAACGATAAATACCCTGTCCCTCTAATAGCAGCAAACCATGCTGATTGTAATGCACCTCCTACAAAGCAAACATGCAAGTGAGAAAAACGAGGAACATTATTCAAAATTCACATCACAAATTCAAGGGATATCAGCCAGAAGAAGCTGATAAGTTCCTTCTGTATGTCAGCCAGCCAAAATTTCACATAACAACTGGGCACATGTGGTTAGAGAAACATGACACTTCAAAGATTATTGCATCATGAAGATGAACAGGCAGTTCATTTTAAATTATTTCCCTAAAATAAGTTCCTTCTGCATGTCAGCATTTGGCTGGACCTCAGACTTCTTAACAACTGGCATTCACATTCTTTGGATTTTTTGGCCTTCCAGAGAATTCAATCAGTACAGTGGTGAAACAATATAACAAACAACACTTAAAACCTTAGATCTTGAAACAAATTATGGAGTTTCAATCACCAAACAAGAAAAGCATACCTTCACATTAAGGAATTCTCCAGGTTGAAAATCCATTATCTGCACACAAGGAATCATACCAACCAAGAATCCAGCTTATTAGAAAGAGCACAACAATTCAGAAGTTTGTCAAGTCAGTAATGTTTATGATCCAATATTTCATCAATACTACCATAGAAGTTTCCTACATGATGTGAGAAAAGGAACCTGCACATGGCAAATGATTATATGCATGGAATTCAGAACTCTTGAATTGAAACCATAGGATTGGGAGTTTCTAACAATTTCAGAAGAACATTCCAGTACTGCACCATAATGCTAAATTTCTTGTCAAGATATTGTACAGTGTAATATTTGAAGCATCAAGATCCTACCCTACTGGCCCTTTAACTCTGCAACTGACAACTTGTGCAATGTTTAAAGCATTAAACTAATTCTGTAAGGACTTCTTGCATCCAAATCTTTTGACAAGGTGAAATGTGAGGCAAATAAATAGCTCATTCTATCATCAATCCACATTCTCATTGCTTCCAATCAATTGTGATTCATGTGTGCAAATATTGCTGGGAAGCATGCAAATGATATGTAGAGGTGCTGATCAAAACAGCTACCCAACCTAGCAGGTTCATTAATCAGAGTTACTGTGTGCAGAGATATCTGAGTGTATAATTTCCAAAAATTGCTTATAAGTGCACACAAATTTTGTCCAATTCCAAACCCTACCTATGAAAGCAATCTAAACTAATCTGTGAAAAAGTGCATCTCAGAAAGATAAGTTCTCGGCATTTTTTCAAAATTTTAACCTACTAAAGTATGAAGATCGAAGGCTAGGAAGCAAATTAAGGCTTACATGGATATTGAAGTCATATGGCAATGATGGAGGCAGAAGCTTTCTGAGTTCAAAGACCTGTCAAGAAGTATAGAGTGAGCAATATTGTCGCATGTGCACACGACTAACCAAAATTTAATAAAATAATATCAGCACAATATTCTCAGGAAGAGTAATAAGTATATCTATATTTATTGTTTGCTAAAGAAAAACACATATTTGTGTGTCATAAAATCCAAGTACCTTACAACAATAAGAAAAAAAAATTTGAAAGGTACCTCGCCTGGAGTTTCAAGAAGTGGCTGCTGGTCTGTTGAACCAACAATTTGCTTAGTAAAATGATTTTCAAGAGGAGAATACCTAACAGGACAAGAAACCCTTTGGGTAAACATAATTATTAAGGACAATTTAGTAACTTGATGAAAGACATCTTTTTGACAAGCTTGATCAAACAGATATCTAAATAATAAGCCCTGCACCAACTTTCCCAGTCTTATTAATGTCTGGATATTATGAACTTAGATGCCACCATAAAGATGCTTAAAGCAGAATAAAATTTAAATAAAGCAATAGCAAAGGTGAGACAGCTGTGCATTCAGTCGATCACACTTTGAGAAGAAACGAACCTGCGTTCAAAGACAACTAGAGTAGCTGATGCATCACACTCCAGAGAATGTTTGGAATTTGGGGCTAGGTAAGCATATGAATCCACCTATAAAACAAAAGGTATAGCATCAAAATTTTGAAGCCAGCATAAACAAATCAGATACGGATTAACTTTCTCTAATCTGTACATGTGTGAGTGGTTGAGCTTTCAAAAACATGGTACCAAGTATCTTGGGTTACAAAAGCATGATTCAAAAAGGAAACCAAATGTCTAAAATTTGCCTTTTGATTTTAAACCTTCCTTTCGTCAACACTACCAAAAATCTAAACCATGGTTGAGCTCTTAAAGCAAATAGATACACGACTGTGTGTGTGTGTGTGTGGGATTGAGTTTTTAAATAATTGGTTCGTGTAATATTTGAAGCATCAAGATCCTACCATACTGGCCCTTTTAACTCTGCAACTGACAACTTGTGCGATGTTTAAAGCATTAAACTAATTCGGTAAGGACTTCTCGCATCCAAATCTTTTGAAAAGATGAGATGTGAGGCAAACAAATAGCTCATTCTATCATCAATCCACATTCTCATTGCTTCCAATCAATTGTGATTCATGTGTGCAAATATTGCTGGGAAGCATGCAAATGATATGTAGAGGTGCTGATCAAAACAGCTACCCAACCTAGCAGGTTCATTAATCAGAGTTACTGTGTGCAGAGATATCTGAGTGTATAATTTCCAAAAATTGCTTATAAGTGCACACAAATTTTGTCCAATTCCAAACCCTACCTATGAAAGCAATCTAAACTAATCTGTGAAAAAGTGCATCTCAGAAAGATAAGTTCTCGGCATTTTTTCAAAATTTTAACCTACTAAAGTATGAAGATCGAAGGCTAGGAAGCAAATTAAGGCTTACATGGATATTGAAGTCATATGGCAATGATGAAGGCAGAAGCTTTCTGAGTTCACAAACCTGTCAAGAAGTAAAGAGTGAGCAATATTGTCGCATGTGCACATGACTAACCAAAATTTAATAAAATAATAACAGCACAATATGCTCAGGACAAGTAATAAGTATATCTATATTTATTGTTTGCTAAAGAAAAACACATATTTGTGTGTCATAAAATCCAAGTACCTTACAACAATAAGAAAAAACAATTGAAAGGTACCTCGCCTGGAATTTCAAGAAGTGGCTGCTGGTCTGTTGAACCAACAATTTGCTTAGTAAAATGATTTTCAAGAGGAGAATACCTAACAGGACAAGAAACCCTTTTGGTAAACATAATTATTAAGGACAATTTAGTAACTAGACTGCACTAGCAAGAAAATACTAAACTTAATGAAAGACATCTTTTTGACAAGCCTGATCAAACAGATATCTAAATAATAAGCCCTGCACCAACTTTCCCAGTCTTATTAATGTCTGGATATTATGAACTTAGATGCCACCATAAAGATGCTTAAAGCAGAACAAAATTTAAATAAAGCAACAGCGAAGGTGAGACAGCTGTGCATTCAATCAATCACACTTCGAGAAGAAACGAACCTGCGTTCAAAGACAACTAGAGTAGCTGATGCATCACACTCCAGAGAATGTTTGGAATTTGGGGCTAGATAAGCATATGAATCCACCTATAAAACAAAAGGTATAACATCAAAATTTTGAAGCCAGCATAAACAAATCAGATACAGATTCCCTTTCTCTAATCTGTACATGTGCGAGTGGTTGAGCTTTCAAAAACATGGAACCAAGTATCTTGGGTCACAAAAGCATGATTCAAAAAGGAAACCAAATGTCAAAAATTTGCCTTTCGATTTTAAACCTGCCTTTCATCAACACTACCTAAAATCTAAATCATGGTTGAGCTCTTAAAGCAAATAGATACACGAGTGTGTGTGTGCGTGGGATTGAGTTTTTAAATAATTGGTTCTGAGTGCCAGGGATTTTAAAACCACGGTTTTAGAAAAGGAAATCAATTGTCTAAATCTGCCTTTCAATTTCAAACTTGCTTTTTGTCAACACTACCAAAATTCCACACGCATTCCTAATGTCCATAAGCCCTAAATTCATAAATCACACTTGCCATCAGTTGGTGGTGGGCACCAGATGCATTAGTCAGAGTTGCAGAACCCTGAACCACGAACAAGAACCTAATGATTTAGGAAGTATGGGTTAGCCAGGATTGTAATCAGATCAACTCCATTGATCATTGAAATTCATAAAAAAAATAAGGCTGTCATCACCTCTCTACATCATTTGGAGGGAGTCCAGACTTTGAATTTTCTGCACATGGTAGAGCTTATGTCAGCAAGCAAGCAAGCCAAATTAGCGGAAAAGCATAATAAGCTGCATCACATTTTTCACTTGAAAGTCACATAGAAGATGAATGATTCATACGTGTACAACACGTAAGAGGGAAGTGGGTTCACATCACACGCTGAAGAGAGTCCACATCACATTTTTCACTTGAAAGTCACATAGAAAATGAATGATTCATACGTGTACAACATGTACGAGGGAAGTGGGTTCACATCACATGCTGAAGAGAGTCCACGGATTTCAAGGCTTCTAAATAGTAAGAACAAGAAGTGCCTCAACTATACCCATGTAGGGTGGCGTGCACTTTCAAGAGGAAGAAAAACTATTCAGCCAAATCAAATAAATGCAATTACACAAATCCTACAGGGTTAGAGTTTCTGATTTTTATGTTTTTTATGAGAATAGAGTTCTGAAAAAATCTAAAGATGATAGCCAATTTCAACAAAGAAGGAAGGTATGCAGCTGAAGCCAATACCAAGGTTGGGCAACAACATTCAAGAAACTATGTGCATATAGATAGAACTTGAACACAATCCGGTAAAATGCAATAATAATCAGTAAGAAAGGAGGGAGCGGAGCACACCTTGCATCTTTGCTAAGTACATCACAAAGTGGGAACCCATGGCTGGAGTAATTAGATATGCCCCCAATGTATTTGTCCTGTCATATATAAATTTGAATGACTCACTAAACCACCACCCAACATGTGATATGACATGATTTCTTCATATAAATCAATCAATCCAAAAAAAAAAAAAAAGCAAAGATGAAAGTATTACCATCCTGGTAAAGGACTGAATACATGACTTTCTGGTGTTATCAAAGCATGGTCTCCTTTATAAACACTACGTGTGAAACCAGGCAAGTCTGGATAACCATAACCAAAAACTTCAGCATGCTATACTTCTGATTTCTTCTTTAATTACAAATAAAATTAATTTATGACTTATTTTGCTCATATTTTTGTTTATTTGCAATTGATTCAACGAATTACATACATTTCTATTTAAATATGATAGAATTAAAAAATGAAGATTGAGAGAGGAGAGAATAAACTGACTGCCCGACCTTGAAGGTGAGAGGGAGAGAGCGTTGGATTAGTGACTTTCCAATATAGAGGTTTGGAGGAGGAGGCCGTTTCAGTTTCAAATACTGAAGGAGCAGAACAGAATAATCCTCCGCCATCATCACTCAAAGCTGCATTCAAAAAATCTGAAAACAATCTCAAATCATGATGAGTTAAATAAATCAATAATAATAATAATAATAATAAAAAGAAACAGCTGTACTGTACTTGATGATAGAGAGAGTAGGAGGAGGAGAGACGGTAGCGATGAAGTTAGCATATTTTTGTTCCGGCCTGTTAAATGTGCGAGTGTAGAAAAAAACCCAACTAGGAGAATCTGTGGCGCAGGAGGTGAGCCTGAAGCGAGTAGTGGACTGACAGGAGTCGTGTCGAAGGACCACTGCCCAGTGACAGGGAGTGGAATCCGCTGTGGAGAAATATTGGTGACTGCTGACTAGGAGAGAGAGAGAGAGAGAGACTGGATCTGATGTCTGACCTCTCGAGCGTTATACTGGGCTGTTGCAGATTATTTAGCCACTCGTAGAATCTTCTATTATTAATTAATTAATTATTTAATAAAAATAACAAAATCATTATATTCACGTTGTTTTTCTTTTTAATCTTACTCTTTAACAAAATAAAAAAATTATTTTCAATGAAAATTGTTTTTTTTCAATTTTAATTTTTAATATTAGTTTTACTAGAAAAAGTGTTTTTTTTAATTTATTTTTAATAAATTTAATTTGATCTCATGATCTAAGTTGTTAATTTAAAAAGTTAATCTTGAATAATTCAAGTTTTTTTTACAGTATTTTTTAATTAATTTTTTATCATTTTAAAATTGAATTAGTTGAAGATTAGACTTTGTAATTTTTTTAATTTATTTTTTATAAGTTTATCATAATCACATTACTCAGGTCATGAGTTTTACAGGTTAACTCAAATTAATTTTATTCATTTTCTTATTCTTTTTAAATTAGGTTTCATAATTTTTTTTATTTTTTGTTATAAGGTTATCTCGATCTTATTACCCAAGTTACTGGTTAACAAATTGATCCAAATAACTTGATTTATTTTTTTTGGTTAAATATTTTTAAAAAAATTCACCCTCAACAACTTGATCCAAATAACTTGATTTATTTTTTTTAGTTAAATATTTTTAAAAAAATTCACTCTCAACAACTTTTTTTTATTTCATCATTTAATATTAAAGTATTTAAAAATTAAAGTTTATAATTTTTTTAAGTGGAGTTATCCTTGTCTTAAATTTTTTTTAATTTCAATATTCAATATTAGATATATTGAAAATGAAACTTTGTCATTTTTTATTTTATTTTTATGAAATTATTTTCATAACTCAAATTATAAATTTTAAATATTAACATAAGTTGATTTGAATTTTTTAATTATTTTTTTATTTTATTATTTAATATGGGTGGGATAAAAATTAAATTTTATAATTTTTTTAATTATTTAATTATATATATTTTATCATTTAATATGAATGAGATAAAAATTAAATTTTATAATTTTTTTAATTATTTAATTATATATATTTTATATAAATGAGATAAAAATTAAATTTCATAATTTTTTATATCACACCTCTCCATAGGGCATCCAGTGTCCCATCCGGTCCTTCTGCCTTCCTCAATAATGTACTCGAAACGGAGCTTTTATTTGCTACAAAAGCTGGAGTTTTTGCTGTTCAAGCTGCTGGAAATGGCGGCCCTTTCTTTTAGTCCTTGGGTTACAAGTGTAGCTTCCTCCATCATCGCTAGCAAGTACGACAACAAAATCATTCTTGGGAATTGACGAAGCTTCTCTCACAATGGCCTTGCCCGTACGTAATATTCCAACTTCACTGCCCTTGTTTATTGATCATGCATGTGCGAACAAATAAGATGGTGTGGCTTTGTTTTCAGTTCAGCGTTTCGTTCATCCATTCTTGAAATCAACGCTATACACCGCTCAAATTGGAGTAACTATCGGATTATAAAAAAAAAATTGCAGCTCCAAGAGTAGGAGTTAATTATGTCTTACCGAATAGCTGCAGCAGTTGATATTCTCATAAGAACACCAACAGTGTTCTAGAAGTTGAGAGCTGTCAACATCAAGAACAGCATCGGTTCGAAACACGTTGATCATCTGCACTAGTAGCCTTGACTTCGAGTATTACAGAAGATGGGGGCTGCAGGTTTTATAACCACAATGGATCCTGACATTGGTTCTGAGCAAGTCAAGGGAACCACAATCACTATGCAAGTCCCTGCCATTTCCAGAGTATGGCAAACTATCATTCAATAAGATACAATTACTATACATGTAATCATTTTGAATGCGTAGCTCTGCATTTATCCTCTTTTTTTCCCACACCGAATGCGTAGTATTCCCACAGGATAAGTGATAGTATTTCACATTGATCTCATTTATTCCTATAATGCTTATTACATTTCCTGGATTTATGGACGCCTGATGAAATGGCATTTATCCATACGTCTACAGGCTTTGTGGGAGTATTACAGCTCAAATACTATCAGGAGCAGCAGTGGACAAGCTGTGGGATTTGCTGCAAGGGCAAGAATATTGGACGGAAGGAAAGCATTCTTTGCTCGGCAGGCACCGATATTTGCATCTTATTCATCAAGAGGTCCCAATGTGAACAATGCACTTTTGCAAACTGCTGATTTCCTTAAACCAATGTCATGGCTTCAGGATCCTCCATCTGGGTTGCTTGGACCCCCGACAGCCAAGGAGATCCTTCTATCAAGGGTACGGACACTGTTTTAATGTTGTTTGATGGGTAACCAGCAACTTATGCCCTCTAAATTATCGGATGACTGGTCTCGAGATTAGAATGCGAGACTTGGTATCTTCATCTCACCCGGCATTATTTGCGGAAGCAATGCCATTTTAAGCCCCTAAAGTTTGCAAATAGACACTGTAAAGTACTTTCAAGTGCATCATCTACTTCAATAGCAAAATGATGATGTTGGTAGATCTCTGGGAAGAAAGTAGCTAAATCTATGCTATCATTCTTCTTGGTTTTACTTTTTAATGCATTAATGCTACCATTCTTGCAGGGCAAAGCTTTGCACTTGTATCCGGTACTGGCCTGGCCGCTACTCACATAGCTGTTGTGGCGGCTTTAATCAAGCGAAAACACCCTAGTTGGAGTCCTGCAGCTATCACATCATCAATGATGACAGCAGCTAACATTTGACCATTCTGGCTCTCCCATTTTAGCACAACTAGGTAACCAACTAGCTCCTGCTACTCCGTTCGATTTGGTGATGGATCCATAAATCCAGCTCTCGACCCAGGAGATCATATTCAATTCTCATTTTGAAGAATATGTCCAGTTTCTTTGTGCTGTTCCAGGTGTTGATGAAGGTTCTGTAAGATGAGCAGTAGGAACTGATTGTCCAACGAAGAAAGGTGATTCGACGTATTACAAACGTCAGTAGCAGGAAGTTTATAGAGTGACTGTGACTGCGAGGCAACAATCAGGTGTAAACGTTACTGTCTCCCCTAAGTTTTTTTGATAAATTCCAAAGCTTCCAAGCATCTTAGGATTGTGTCGACAGCAAATAAAGGCAACGAGAACTTACCATTTTGTTTGGCATGGTGATTCTGGCAGGCAGGAGAGTTAATGTTTGTCTTTGTTTTGGGGGAGAGAAATGAAGTTAGACATGCATGTCTTTATAAAATATGTAGTAATATTTGCATGCTTGCTTGAATGAGTAGGGCATAAAAATAGTGGTAGATGAGAACCGGATGATGGAGATGGCAGCCCAAATAAGGAGGGCCAGCATTAAAGTCTTTGGTTGGATCGAGCAACCGAATACAGTGATTCTGTAAGTGATAAAGTTTTAAACAAGACCAAAACAAAAAAGAAAATTTTTACGGAGTGGTCTGATTGATTTGGAGCACGTCGAGAAAAATCAAATACACAAGTAGCGGAATACTTATGGCTCGGAACTTGTTAAGTTGGACCTTCGATTGATGGGCTGGAGTCACAGGTTTTTAACCCCAAAAATCTCTCACTCATTCGTTTCTTCTTCTGGATGTGCATTTTTTGTCAATTATGATTAGTTCGATGCCTTTGAAATTCTAGAACCCCTTATGGTGAAATCGCGACTGCTCGAATCCTAGTCCTTCAATATTGCTGCTGTAAACAGTGCCAGCCCCGTCGTTTTTGCATTTGTAGGCACAGCCTAGATAAACAGCAGGGGAGGGCAGTCTTATATGGTGGTTCCAGCGATTTCAGAGGGTTTTAGGGAAGCTTTTTTAGCTGAAGGTGCAGTATATCAAAGCTAGAGATTTGAAATTCTTGCTTGTTTCTTTACTTTGGCATAACTTGAATATATACAGGAGGAACAACTTTACAAGAGAGGAAAATACTAAAAACAGAACCATGGTTCTAGCCTATATATAGATTATTTTGCATCTTCATGATTTGCTAGAGTTGATTTTCCTGTCATCTTGTTTGGAAACTCAAGATTTTCAGTAGTCTTGCTGCAGGTGGTCTGACAGCTTACTATCAGTGGTGCTATTCCTGGAAGCAGCCTTAGCACGCCCCCGCAAGATTGAGCCACCATCAAGGCCAATCTCGGAACGAAGAGTGTCTGTGCTCTAACAAGACAGTGGCTTGGTCAGGAGGTCAGCTAACTGATGAACGGTCAGAGTTCCCTTTTTCACCAAATCACGAACAAAGTGAATGTCAATCTGAATTATGTGCTTCATTTTGGAGTGAAGGACATGATTCAAACTGAGATGTGTGGCATTATCACTCATTAATATTGGAGGGACAGGGAGTGAAGACCCGAGTTCAGATAGAAGTTGGGTGAGCCATACAATTTCAAAGGCATTCGTTGCTAGAGCTCTATATTTTGCCTCAGCTGAGGAGCAAGCAATGGCTAGAACTCCAAGAGATGGGATTGGAGCCTAGAAGGATTATATAGGCAGAGATTGAGGTACTAATTGGTCCAACAATGTTGCGAAACTCCGAGCCAATGCCCTGAAGAACATAGAGTGTGATGTCGCCATTGGAGACTGGACGATAGATATTGGAGACTGGACGATAGATACGAGAGTGAGTTCATCAATAAGCTTTTTGACTGCATGAGAAACTCTCTGACTGAACGAGAGTTGCGTTGGATGGTAGAGAGTTCTTCATTTAATTGAAGAACACGTGTACGCGATTTGCTTACGTAGAGCTCTTTCAGTTTATTCCAGGCTTCACTGGAGGGAGCAACAATGGCAGTTAAGGGTTTAACGATGGTACTGACCAAAGAGAAAATAGCCCGAAAGCAAGAGTTCAAAAAAGTTAACGGTTTTTTCACTCTCTTCTTTACCTCGGGTTGGCCTATTGACATGTTAGGTCGAATCAATTATTTTTTTATTTTTTTAAATTTGAATTAGTTTATATCTTGGATTAATTAATTTAAATATTTAATATAAATTAAAGTAAAAAAATATTTAATTATCTTTTAAAACAT